TTTTTTTTTCTCCTGATGTCACATATGGCTGTAGAAAGGATACCTATCAAGGTTGTTTTGATTGGTGTAGCTGAAGATCCATCAACATTTTCAGGGTGAAATTTAATTGATGCAGCCTAAAGAAGGCAAAAGAATCAGAAGCATATTATCTTTCTGTTTGAGCATTAGCTGATAGGAAGAGCCTTTACAAATAGATGCATAAGTAGCAAGGCAAAGCCTGAATGAAAACTATGTCATCTTTGGGATAGGCAAGTTGAAATCTGAGCTAACAAAAGAAAATGGCTTCTCAAGGAAGTTTAATACTGTAGGGCAGAAAGAGGCCAAATATATCTGTAACAGATACCCAGCTAAGAATATTGAAAGGATGGATCTTAACAGAGCTGAATAAAAAGCCAACACAGGTTGTGTCCTACAAGTAGTGTAAGATTAGCAATACTAAATGTCTGCACAACTTTCAAGCTATACTGAGCTGCTCTTACTGAGAATCAATTCAAACATGATGAAAACATATCCTGACAGCTGGTTTGGAGTTCTGTAAGAGGATTCTCTGGATCTCAAGGGATGGCAATTGGACATCAAGAACTTTGGATCTAGAGGGAGTATCTGGAGGTGGTACAGTGAATCGTTTTTTTGGCAGTCCACAGGTCAGAGCAGAGACCTTGCTGGACATCTGTGTTAAGTTGCCCAGCCAAAACTGGCTTGGACAGTATAGAACTGTAACAGTATTGTGGCTCTGTTTCTTTTGGTCTTGGAAATACTCTGGGAATCAAAGCAGTGCAAAGAAAGTAAGGAGGTCTATGCTACACTGGAGAAGGTTCCTGGCTCCATGCCTCTGATGATAACAATAAGATCTTGAAGCACTTCAGAATTACCACTCTTTTGGCTAGAAGCTGGTGTAATGGTCACCATCAGGAGAGGATGTCAATGATTTTGGTAGCAAGCATCTGCTCTCCCCAGCTCATAGCTGTTAACGGTATGCTTTGTAGCAATGCTACAAAGGTGCCCGATTGCCAGCTAATCCTCAAACATAAAAGACACTCAAGCCAACAGGTCATGCAGGACAGTTTAACTAGAGCAGTAAGTCAGATAGACTCTGGTCTGGTTATATGGTAGTTAATTCAGTGCCACACAGCTTCTCTCCACAGCCATAGTGTAAGAAACATCTCTAATACTGGAGTTATTTTTGGATAGAAGAGTAATCCTCAACTCTGAACACAAACTAGGGCTGCCCTAGTTATACCAGCCTTTGTAGTACAGATGTTGTCTGTTGAATTATTCTATTCTATGGAATAAATTAATTCCTTAAGAACATACATAAGGCCTAAAGAAAAAGGAAGAGCTCCTCAGAAAGGGCATTGCAAAAGTTCAATGGACAATCTGAGATGTTTAGTTGCTGACTCAAAAAAGGGGATAATGCCAGAATTCATATTCCTATATGGAAGCCTCCAAGAGGGACTCTGCAATACTTAGGTGGATCACAGCTATGGCCTCCTCATTTTGACAGTCCCTTTAGAAACCATGCCCCATGCAAGGGAAGACTAGAAATAAATCTAATTCATTCCATTACTCTGTGCTTTTGTGCATACGTTCCTTCAAATATTTATATATAACTATATACACATTTCACTTGTTTTAAGTTAGCCACTTCTTACCAGCCAATTAATTCATGTCACAGTTCAGTGTTTGCTGTATTCAAACACTCTCAACATGCAATTTCGTGTAGGATCCGATCTGAAGAATCCGGTAGATTAGAAAAAGACATTGTCTTTAGTACAGAAACTGTGCAGAGGAGCAAGTATACACAAGAGCAAGTAACTGCTTGAATGATCAGGCCATACATCCTCAGCAGAATGGCATTTCTTTAACTGTGAAAAATGAAAACTGTTTCATAAGAAACACAAGAAAGATGAGATCGTTAACGTGTAGGTATCTTCTTTTGTCTGTCTTTGACCTTTGAATATGTAAGCTTGGAATTTCAGTGTTCCCTTCTTGTAATTTTTTTAATGAAGCATTAGAAAAAGAAAAATGCATACTTTATGTGGTCAGTCATACTTCCCAAAAGGCCTACCCAAACCCCAAGAAATACATAATTTTTTTTCCTGGCATTATTCTTCTTGTGGCGGTGGAGATAAAGAGAGCAAGAGGGAAGAAGAGATAGAGGGGAGAAAGAGAGGGGGGGAGAGAAAAAGAGAGAGTGAGATAAAAAGGGGCAGGGGGAGAGAGGTGTGTATGTGGCATTATAAGAAGCAAATGGATTTAAAATATTGGCTCTTTTTATAAACAGTAAGGACAGAAATTATAATGAATTTGATGAAGACTTTGAACGTCTTTCTCCTCACAGAAGGAGACACAATTGTAAGACTTTTCACCTATTCAAACTGGGAGCAGAAGGTGCACTTTTTTAGCAGAGAGGGTCAGACATAACTGAAACAATTTACCTAAGGACACGGTAGACTATCCTTCCTTTTCAGTCTTTGTGAGAAGGTTGAGTCTCTAAAAACTAAACAGAAATTATGAGTATCAAGCAGAAACTGAAGGACGATTTTTTTGTGTACATGTCCTACAGAAAACCAAACAGCATGAACACCATGAACTTTTCCAGTCTCAAAAATCCAAGAATGATTCCAGATCCCAGGCTGGGGCTCCAAACATTGGCAATCCTTCAGGATATGCATGGGTCACACAGTCATCCTTCATCTCTGCTCCTCCATGTCCACACTGATTTCTGTCTTTCACCAGTCTGCTGCTTGTAAAATGAATTTCTTATTGTTTGAAGAGCTAGAGATGGGCAGGTAGGGGAAGGTATCATAGAGATGGCTCACTGCTCTTCAGGTGGGCCACAGTGTATCTGGGATAATGTACTCAAAAACATTCTGCCACCTTTGCTATTTCTCCTTTTTAAAGTACAGCAAGACATATTCATTTCTATTTAGGAAAAACAAAAAAATTTATCCTTTTATTTTGAAAGAATTTGGAATTTGCTAGGGAATGTAGAAATCATCAGGATAGGAGCCTATGTTCTTCAAGGTGATACAGAAAGGTAAATTTTCACAGTATTGACAATGACGCGGAACAGAGATGGTAGGAAAGTGCAAGGGTTTGAGGCAGGCTGAGAGACTGCTCGTCTATCAGTTGCAAAGCTTTCCTTGTTGTCTGATTCCAGTCGAGCAGTCTGTGGTTTACCCTTTTCATCCTCTTCATTGTACAGAACCTCATATTTTTTCCATTCGCATATGACAGCTCGTTTATTCTGACCTTGTTGACTTACTCATCTGATGTTTTCCGTCCTTACTAAAATCAAGGTTTACTTCCAGCACGCACAGCAATCACTGATCCTAAGAAGAAAGTCTCAAGCGCAAATGAACATCTATACTTCAGTCTAACACTCGCTGTATTGCCACAACAACCCTGAATCTAGTTTAACACCTATGAAGAAAGATATATTTGAAAGGAGATATCTGAAGTACCTAGCTATAAAGGAGAGATGCCTGTTGGTTGTAAAAGCATCCTTTGATAACTCAGAAGACAGTAGGGATGAAGAGAGGTATTTTCCCTGCTGGTTGGTGGAGGTAATGAAAAAAGTTACCTTTCTTCTAAAAATTAATCAAAACAGCTTTAGGGGTGAGACAAACATGAAAACTATGATCCTAGCACAGAAGATAAAAGCCTCTTCACTGCAGTTATTTATTAGCTCTTTGTTCCCTTACTTAATGTCTAATTGCCCCGTGCACTGACACAACAAACCTATTGGAGATTAACATCTCTTTTGACCTACAAAAACATTGTATTAGAACAGAATTAGTTTGCATATTTTGTGAGTAAAAAATTAGTACATAGCTAGCACCTTTTCTAATAATTTGCTTCATTAATGGAAGTACTACTATATTACTAACCTTCAGGGAATATTTTTAACACATAATAAAATACATGACAAAAATGCAAGCTACTGGGCTTTTGCTGAAAGCCAATAAAAAGCCAATTCTTATCAAAGCAGGGACCATATCTGACAGTGTCAGACTGAAACTACGTGCATTAATTTTGGAGTGTAGAGTGAATGCAGGGTCTTTGTAACAAACACTGAAGATTATTAGCAGGTCAATATTTTGTTGCTTAAAAAGTAATCATGGAGGGGGACATTTAATAAGTCTCAACTTAAAGATCATGACCATACACTTTAAAGATCTGAATAGAAATTTATATTGTTCCAAGTGTTCTTTTGAATGATGATTTCTAAGAAAAATTGGTGACTTGGACCACTGGTTGTATTCCACAGTATTCAGCAAATCTGTCACTTGCATCTATTCTGTACCGGGATGTGCTACTTATCATCTGAGATTCTGGTTTTGTGAGCTTTATAGGGGAAAAAAATAACAGTACGTACATTGGTAATGACATGCTCTATTACAGAGTAAAATGTCCAGAGTGCATTCATTTCAAGAAAACAAAACGTAAATGTACAAAAGCACATAGGAAATCCATTTCAACTCTTAATCAAATTCAGTGGGATCAAACCTTGATTATCCTTTAAGTAAGAAAAGAGTTTTTATCCCAGCATGAGAGAATGGATGGTCATTTTTGTTTAAAGATTTTTTGACAGAGCCTTCTTACTCATCAGTCACTGCATTTAGACCACTATTTTTTTTGTATCCTGCCAGTCTCTCTCAGTTGTGGATTCCCTCACTGCATGAGCCTGATAAGTGCTCAACATCTCAGGCGAGAGTCATGTTTAACTCCAATCCATGCCAGGAGGCACTTGCACTCTTGCAGGACTACTGTCCTCGCTGTCACGCCATCAGGCAGTCAACATTCTTGTCACAGAGAAAAAGCCTTTCTATCCTTGTCAACAGAAAGCCAGTTGCTGACAAGCCCATTAAGTGCCAGCACCCCTGGTTCATCCCTGTCTTGTTTTTTAAATACTAGCACAGTAATAGCAATTACTTTCTCCCATGACTCAAACAGAAAGCATAGGCATTACTGAAAAAATAAAAACCCCAGCATACCTGTTGAACAGTCTGAACCTGTCCACTGTGGTTCACAGCTGCAGAGTCCCGTATCCAGGAGGAAAGTCCCGTGTCCTGAGCACTGCTCTTGGCACACAGGAAGCGACGTCTCACAGTTCACACCGCCCCAGCCCGTGGAGCAGTGACATTCCCCTTGAACACACACACCATGGCCAGAACACATCGGATCCAAGCAGTCCTCTGGAAAACAGGGAACATACAACTTAAGAGCATAAAACTTGCACGTTTACAGTGGTTTCCTAGTGAAATACAACATCAGGGATTCAGATTAATTTGGTGATTTTTGTGCAAATACCCAAACTGAAACGATGTTAACAAAGAAAAAATAGCCTATGCTAACATCTGTGCAAAAGTAGAAGCCAAAAACAAGGAAAAAAGCAAGCATGTAGACTGCTAAAGATCATATGATTCTGCTTGTCAAGGATATTGTCTTACTTTTAACATGCAGATTCCCAAGACAGATCCATTGGTCCCAGTCAGTGAAGTTTGTGGTTTAGTAGCAGTGCTGGGAAAGAACTGGAGCAATTAATAATTACTTCTATAATTGTACATTGTGTTTTCATTTGGGTATTTGTGCTCTGTGTTTTATTTACATCTGGGAAAAGCAAGATTTATTCTTTCATCATCCTGTGGAAAGATATCTCTACAGATGAAAATTTGATAAAAAAAAAAAATGGCCATCCACTAACCCTGAGTAGTGAATCTCTGACTGAATGCTTGCTGTAAAAAAATCTCATACACTCATAAAAAGTATGTGCTGGGCAATTGCAGATAATGAACAGATTCATAAAAGTCATAACGTACTGATGAACAATTTGCAAACAGACAAAGAGCTAAATTTGTTCTCAATTTGGATTAAACTATTCCTAGTGAAAAATTCAGCAGCTCTGTAGAAGAATTTAAATCAGCTGGTTAGTCCTGTATAATCAGCATATTCTTTCATAAAGCCCCAGCATTTCTTTAACAAGACAGATTTTAAGCAGAACACAGCCTGCCTTCTCTGGAGGCTGCAGGAAGACTGCAGAGCTGAAGAGGATTTGTGGGGTCTCAGCATGGGAAATAATTAGCCAAAAGGCTATTCATGTTAGATCATGCTTCAGCCTAATGTTAAAGAGGCACTTTGAAAGTTCTTGTATGTATTTTTCAAGTATCAGCACAAGTACTGTTTTGTTAAGTTTACAATTTAATTATTAAACGGTATTCCGTGCTACACGAATGAAGAGATGCTCTCTGCTTCAGTAAGGGAAGACTAAATACTTCAGATGTAGAGATTAATGGTCTCCAGTTTATGGGATCTTTTGACCTAAGAATAAAGAAGTGATGCTTTATCTTTTGAGCTGCTATTTCACCAATTCAAGATCTTATTTCAAGATTTATGTTGCATCTTTTTCAGCCTTCCAGGCCTGTGCACAGCACAATGTAATTCTGAAAGAGGGGAATCACTGTTTTTTGACGACGCAAATACTCGGCAATTTTCCCTCATCCTGAGACAGCTCTTTATTTTGCTGATCTTTTAAAATTAATTGAGTGACTCCATGAACAGTTTAAAAACCACCGCTCACTTTAGTAATGATAATCTGACAGGACAAACTCAAAGGACTCCCATAGCAATGAATACATGTTGCTACTGGTGTCCCCTGGATAGTACATCTGTTACTGGGTCTGCTATGTTAACAATACTGCTATAACACTGAACTCATATTTACATACAATAATATAATCTGAATTCCTGAAAAAATTACTTCCACTACTGCACAAGTTATGCTGTACAATACAGTAAACTGAACAGTCACATCATGCACACACTGTTACAATAAAAACTCACTGTAATTGGCTGCATAGGTTTGTTTCATCCACCCTATTTCTACATAATTCCATCTTTTAAAAAATCTTAAATACATCTCTTATGTTAAAAATCCAAGTTTTCACACTCTCAGTTTCAATAGCTGTCAGTACATTTATCTCAGTTATCTTTTTTCAATCATTTTGCAAGATCATATTATGGCAAGAAACAAAGCAACTGAAAACAGCAGTCAGGCACTCATCAGCTACAGGGTTATTCAGCATCATGGCCTCAGTGAGTAAATCTGTGTATTACTTTTTTCCCATTTGGGTTTTCTTGTTTTTGTCCATTCCTGAAACTACCGACAACTGAGTATGTCAGAAGCATTCCCTTGATCCTCTCTTTAAAAATCATACCAGGTATGTCAAATCCATCAAATCCATCCTGGACATTTTTCTGACTAGAGAATTTAAGCTACACAAAGAGCCTCCTCTGTGTGCTACTCAAAAGAATTACCTAAAATCTATACAGCAGGAAACACAAAGTACGCTGTCACTAGCTTCAGGCTAAGGAGACTAGTGAAAAATCATCAAATCAGGGCAAGCATGAAGAAGAGTTCTGCTTTCCGAGGCTACACACAGGGGAAGAAAGTCAAAGCTGATGAGCTATCTCAGAAATGCTAAGAGGCAAATGACAACTGCTTCTTTCTATATATGAAGGCAGAGACACATCGGTACTACAACCAGCAAAAGTACAATTACTTTTTCTCAGAATTGTCCATTTTTTATTAGCCAAACCTTAAAGGATACCAGTTTAGTAGCCTGAACACAGGCTCATAGTAAAAATGACATATGACAACAGAATTACACAATATGCTCTGGTAAACTGAAACTGTTTGCTGCTCTTTTGGCTTTATATTGTCAGTACGTTCTTTGCAGAAAAGTTTAAGACATAACAGAATGAAGAAAGGGGAAAGCTGATTACGATCTTCTGATTGCTCTGGAGAACACCACATCATATTTTGTTTAAATGATCTTCTGACTGCCTCACCCTTAGCTTTTGGCCAAGTATGAAAGTCTGCTCGGGCTCTCTGACGGTGTGTGTTAAGGGATCGAGGTTACTGGCAGCAGGGAGGACCAGGGATGCCAGCCACCCTTCCTGAAAAAAGTATCTGGAGCCTGAGAGAAGAAAAGTGGAGACAAACAAATCAAGATGGTCTCACAGCTTCCACAAAACAAAGGAATCCTTGCTTGCTGGGATGTTTTCCAGGAACCTTTTGGAGGATTGAGAATACACTGCTTGCTGAAACGCAAAAACTTCCACCTAGTTCTGTTCTCGCTACTGAGACTCAATGGAGGGAGGGAACAGAACTAGAGCCCTCCTTGACCGAAAGCAAAACTGAGTACTTCAGAGGACTGCGCATGCTACAATTATTAGATAGTCTTATTAGACAATGTTAAGTAATTTTATTCTTTTAGAATAAGAATGTGAATCTTGGAAATTATGTGATCAGCTTTCACTGACTGTCACCAAGACCTGAATGTCTTTACCTTTGCTAATTTTCTATCTTAACATTATTTTCTATGAGACAGTAAAGGAGCTTTTGAACAAAACGGTACTGCTTCACAGTAAGCTTCTCACATTTATGTGAGTTCTTAACTACTTAAAACAGGTTTGGAGATTAAAGACAAAAATCAAACCCTCTAACTATAGAGGAGGAAACTTCACAAACCTTCCTCACAAATCTCTCCTTTGTATCCAGGGACACAGATGCAGACGCCCATGATACAAGTACCATGGCCAAAGCAGGTTGGATCAATACACTGTTCTTCTGGAACATCACACTCTGGTCCTTTCCAGCCATTTCGACACACACAGTGACCTTTCTCATATTCTCCATTTCCGCTGCACAGCACTGGACAGGAATCTGAAGAAGACAGATTAACCTTTTTAATGTATTTACATACTCATATAGATTAACCTTTATTGCATTTATCATTCTGTAAAATTGCTTTTCCACTCCAGCCCCCCGATCCTTCATTCGATTGAAGGGTTGTGACAGGCTGAAATCTTTGAACTAGGTAGTGCAGCAGTAATACAATGTCCTCGTCTCCTCAGTCTGCTTCACTAGTGTACCTTAATTTTGACCTGAAATGGAGTATCTTAGAAGATAAAAATAATTTCCTCCCCTTGATTAGCCTCTGCAGAAAATTTGCAGTGATGCCTGCTTATGAATTTCAGTAAGATTAATATTTCTTCCCTGTGAACTGAAGCAAGATACTGCACTTTTCCTCTTTCTTCTAAGCAGACTTAGCATTCCTGAAGTTTTAACCATTACTGATCTGCATGTAAACCAGTGACGTGGAAGCTTAGTTTTACAATCCAGCATCAACTGCTGAGCCAATCAAGCTCTTAAAAAATAAAATAATTCTTAAATTTGAGAGAACATTGGAAAAACATGAGAACTTCCAGACATCATATGCAGCAGATGATGGATAATACTGACAGAAATACCTGAAACAGAAATAAGCTCGCTTACAATCTTTTTAGCATGGTTTTTGTTGCCCCAATGTTGGAGAACAGCCTCTAAGCTGCTTCAGGTTTCTTTTCTACACCCTATTCAAGTTAAGATCACAGAAGCATTTGACTTACTTATGCAGTTTTCTCCAAAGTGAAACTGTGTGTCACTTTTAAATAACAAAAACCATTACGCTAAGCTAACACACTTATTAAAAAATGTATTTTATAATCATGGAGTGGATGCAAAGAGGGATGGAGGAATCTGTTAACTCTGAAAGTCGGGGAGAGAGAAGTGGTTGATGCATCTTAGCTCAAGTACAGCATAAAGAAACTTTCTACATGTGTGCTTGTACTGTATCTGCCATCTGGCTGGAAAAGGGAATTTAATCTCCTTTAATCACTTTGAATCTTTGCAAGCCCAGCAGTCACACACTATAATCATGATCCCTGTCACGCACTGTGGGTCAGTTAATATGAGATTACCTTTTGCACAATCAGGACCAAGGAATCCTGGGAAACAGTGGCAGTGCCCCGAGATACATTCTCCATTCCCATTGCAATTAGTAGAGCAGTCATCCAGGATTTCTGTTCATTCCAAGAGTTATGCACAAAAAAAAATATAAATTGCTTGAATTTGAAATGAATGGCATCTTCATCTCACTCTGCAGGACACATCTCAACATACAAATAGGTGTAGAAGCAGTAAAAGGTCCATTTTCATTCATAGAGAGCATAAAACAAAATTCCTGTTCAAGCAGCTTACAAATATTAGATTTTGTCTTGACAGCTTCGAGATAACAAGTGCATCATTTATATTACACCAAAAAGCTTTTAAAGTAAGTGTTCATGTAAAATTTACCACCATTAAAAGCACTGCAAGAACCGGAGTATTTGCTGAAAAACGTCCACCTTAAACACTTTCTTTTATTGCTGAAGTAATTTGTTTGAAATCTGTTTATAGAGTAAATTGCCTTCTATGGTGTTCATTTGAACCATGTGAATTGAATTCCTTGGAGGAGGGTAGGATTTCCACTTCTATACAATCAGATGAAAAAAAATAGTCTTTTGTACAGTGATGAAACTCAATGCAATAAAGGACTAAGAACTAGATTTGAAGGAAAAAACCCAAAACAAACACCTTCATTTCTGATCTTAAATTTGCCTATGTTTTATCACACAGTTTTGGACAATGAACCACTTAACCTCACACATCTGGGGACAGGCTCAAATCTGTACATGAATTAGCTGTTTTTTAATTTACACATGTATTTCCTACAGGAATTCAGTGGATTCACTGATTTAGATGGATTTTATCTCAAAAATATGAAGAAAATCCAAGGCTAAGATGCGCCCAACACAGAGCAAGTCCCTGTCAGGCCAGCACTAGGACTGAGGGTCTCTGCAGCCCACGCAGGCGCTGGGCAGGACGGGAGAGGGGCTACAGAACGGTCGCAACTGAGACTGTTTTAGGGGCACATGCACTAACAGATGTGGGGAAGCACCTCTGGCTATAGGAAGATGGGAAACATGAGTCCTTTCCCACAAAATAATAACTGTTGGGGAAAAAGAAGAAAACTCGGATCCTTTTGAAGAGTATCTGTCCACGGCAAGTGATTCGGGAGCAACAATTTTTCTCAAGAGCAGCATTGGAATCTTTAACCTAATCAAATCTGATCATACTTTTAAACTCAAACGTAACTTGTCAAAAGAGAGATTGTAAGCACATCCTACAACTAATATGACTAACTGAAATAAGTTTATTTTGATCTTATTTATGGGCACTCAGACAGATAAGGATTGGTTCCTCTTGAAAACTCCCACTGTTATTTAGAAATATTCCTTTCGAGCTATCAGTTTATACCAAAGGACAGGCATTTGATATATATCTATTCATCAGATATCCACAACCTGTACACGGATGTCTGTTTCAAAGTCAAAAAACCAGCTCAGAAGTAAGTTTCTTCACAGATATGCTGCTTGTTATTAATTTTTACGTACTACTGCTCATTATCAACTCTTCTCTTGCTCTATGTGTACACTTGCCTGTCTTCTCAGTTTTCCAGAATCACATGGTAAATGATTCCTACATTGATCTGAAATGAAGAATTAACAGTTGGAAAAGTTACTTCCCCTTGATGCAATGTCCAGTTTGCGTTGGCCTTTATTCAGTCTATGACAGTACTTGAGGCATGCCAGATTTTGCATGCAAATCACCCTTCTCAAGGGAACGTCTGATCACAGCTTTAGCTGAAGCATCAGCAAAATCAATTTTGTACATAACTAACATTGAGCAACTTGAAATACTCCGTAACAGACGCTCATGAGGAGGGCATGACTGCTTCACGCAGCCAACAGTAGCATGCAGCAGAGATGCATCCAAGCTCTTGCTCTGTTCTGACTGTTTCAACCTGTGGTCCCATTTGATTCCTTTGTCGGTAGAGATGTTTAATATGACTCCAGCCAAGTTTGGGGTAAGGAGAATGGCTGAAGGAATTTTTTTTTTTTTAATGGAAACCCCCAAAGAAAACAACCAAGAATTGTTATGCAAAGAAAAGTAAGAGAAGATACAAAGATACACAAGGTTATGAAAACACAATAGCTAGCACTATTTTCAAATGCATCAGCAGTAGATCCTTGCAGCATGAACCTTCTTTTTCCCCAAAAGGTCTTCTCGCAGCCATTTCTGAAACGAAGTATAAGGATTTCTGCGTGCACTGTGCCTCTCACTGCTCCCCTCTGTAAGATCCAGTCTGTTCTGTTTATTGGCCAGAGAAGGGATGGATAACTTCTTTTTCACCAAATGTAACAAGAACCAAACCATAGCATTCAATTTCACTTTTTTCTTTTTTCTTTTTTTTTTTTTTTTTGGAGATGGTCTGCTACTTAGCAATGAAATATTGGTTAAACCCTCCTGTATAAACACTGCTGTCTTACAGTAGAAATAAACAAGGGGGCAGGTATTTGGATTCTGCTCTGGACTGGAGTTTGGCCAGGTTTTATGCCCTTCATAGAGCATCTGTGAAGATGCTTCATAAATTGCTTGAATATTATTTTCTCATATGGCATTGAATAATGGCATTTCTTCTTGCTTGTAAAAGATTCACTTTTCTGAACAGAGCAAATATGAACTTTTACACCAAAACCAGTCATTACAATTCTATCTTAATTTCTAAATTATTTTCCCGCAAGTCCTTCAAAATCTTGGTATTTGAATCATATTGTCCTGCTCTGTAAGGTGTTTACCATCAAGTAAAAATAGCATCCAATTGTTCTAAAGAGCAGATGGCATGTCCATTACTAGTAAAGACATCTTGCTAAACATATGGTAGAACAGGCTAACTAAAGGGCATAGTGGTTAAAGTCTTGCAGCAAACCGAGACTGTCATAAATACAACACTTTATCTAAATTTAAATTCCAAAGAAACACTACGTGTGAGCACTGCTCACTAAAAACACCTAGGGTTGCGAGTATTTGTCCACCTATGTGTATTAAAAAGGCAGTAGGGATCTGACATGCCACCAGGACACTGTATTCTATATTAACCTTTATTCCAAACAAATTGTGCATTCAAGTAACTGTATAAAACAACAGCACCCATCCATTAAACAACAATCACAACCAAATCCACAAAAGCTGCCTTTTCGATTTTCTGATTGAAATACTGGAAATAAGAACTTAAAGCCTGGATAATTTTTGTCGGATTTATGGTTCCTGTGTAAATAGAGAGAGCAGACAATCTCTTTTACTTTGAGCAAGATAACAGCAGAAATTACTCAAGCATTTAAGCTACCGTATAAAAATCTTCACACACATGAAAACTTCACACTTAATTAATTTGATAACATCCATCTTTAACACACAAATGTTGCTATTTGTCTAATATTGGCATAAACATGAAATTGCTCCACTGAGGTTAATTAAACTAAGCTGAAATAAAACATATTTAGGAGAATTCTTAAGAGAAGCCAGAATCAAGGTCAATAATTTTTTTTTCAAATACAGTTTTCCAATGTAATAATCAGAATAACAATTTTATTGTAATTGTTCTTACCAATCGCTGTGGTTAGTACAAACACTTGCTCCACTTTCTTTCCATCATTGTAGAATGCCATATGCCAAGCTCCTTGATCCATATACTCGATGAAACCTGTCTCTTGCAGTGAAGTTAAGATCAGATTCCTGGGAGCTTGCTGAGGCTCCTCTGAGTTTTTTGGTTCCTGTTTAATTAACTGTTTTCCGTCCATCAGTTTTACAAAATCAAACTGAAATAATAATGAGCAAAAATTAACCGCCTAGAAAATTTTTATGAGTCTACTCTGCATGTCTCATTCAAACAGGAACAAACAGCTGAAACCTTAAGAGGAATTGCCTGACTAAGTATTCACCAATGTGGACCGCGGCTGCATAACCTTGTGTATGTAGCTTCAGTTTCCATATAAAAAGCGCTATGGTAGGTCAAAAATCTGGCATCAAAAGTTGCTGTTTGCTATGGCAGGATAAATTCAGACTTGCTGCACCAAATACAGCAGATTTACTTCAAAAACTACATCTCTTTAATGGGAATAATTGCAAAATTGCCAAGCTGTAGTGCCTATGTTATGCAGTGATTCATCTCGAATGCCAAGAACAGATTAAAGAACCTATTGTTCTATACTAGATTTTTAAAAGTTTCTCCCTTAATGTCAATACCGTGTATCAAAACCTAAATATACTTTTTATTTATATTTAATTTTATTAATGCAAATAAGTATCTATTTTTTACATGGAAGTTTTTAATACCTAACAAAGTTGATGCTGACAACTTAAAGACCAGTTAATCTCAAAGCATCAGAGATGTAAAGCTTTCTTGAACAGAAAGAAATGTATATATTTCTCCAGGTTTTAATAGGCATACTGATTTTCAGTAAAGTTCAGCTTCAGCTCTACTGAAGATCCAGCTTCAACTAAAGTCAATGACAGCTAAAAGTGCTTATTTCTAAGATCAAAACTCTAGTAAATAATTTGTGAGATTAGACTAGATGATCTCCAGAGGCCCCTTGTAAACAATCTTTCCATTATTCCACATATGAGTTTATCACAATCTATTACCCATAGAAATGACAGCTTCATGTGTCAAATGCATTAAGCCAAAAAAAAAAAAAAGTGACCAGCAATATTGCATATTCTTACTGCTTAGCTAGGTCTTCTCCTGCAAAATCCCTAGAAACCACTGGTTGAAAATGTAAGCATGATAGAATTAATATTATTTCTAATTACCTGAGTGTGAGTAGGTGGAATGTTTCTTCTGCCATAAATTCCCAGCAGAGAATCCTTCGCCAGTGAAATGTTAAATTTCAGGTACACGGGGTGATGTATAGTAATCTGAAAGCGCCAGAATAAACCAGGGGGAATCGTCTGCATAACTTGTGCTCCAATCTCAACTTCTCCTGTGTCTATGGCCCGTCCCTTCTGAAACACTAATTTTCCAGAAACAAACAAAACAATCAGTTGTGTATTCACGGTGGGTGAAGACAGTAGGTCACGAGGCATAAAAGTGCCTTAGATATATCGGAATATATTGAAAACGACCTCTAAACAGAGGGTGTTTCACTGAAACCATTGCATTTTTTATTCAACAACCTGAAAAATACAAATAAACTTGCATGCAATATTTATGACTACAGGCATCACAGAGCATTTTTGCCCTGGAAATCTTGGTACGCTTTACTGAATATAAAAAGGTAGAAGCACTGCTGCATAATCCACGGTCTTTACTTATCAGCTATGCAAACAAACCCCATTGAACTGAGAACACACAGAGAGAAGGCAGTGGGAGATCTTCTTCTGGCATGTATTTCAGACTACTGCCGAACGAGCATTGCATAAGCTACACAAACGGACACCAGCGAGGAGAGGAAATCCATCAAACCTGGTAGGTCAGAGTCCATGTCCAAAACCTAGATTTCTATTAATCACCATTCCTAATGATTTTATTATGGTAGTTATAATCTAGTCCTGGAGAAATAAAGAACATCTGTTTTGGCTTGGTCTTTCTGCCAGAAAGCGTAACAGGGGCATGAGGATAGGGACAGGCAACCTAAAGAGAAAACTGGCGAGATTTCATAATGCCTAACAATAAATTTGCAGACATCTACAGTATGCAACTTCACACGTGGGTATGAGAGAGCTGAAATAGAAAGGGAAATGGAATGCATAAAGAAGACATTGCCAAACTAAATTCGAGCTGGCTTGCTTTGCTGGCTTATGTCACCATCTTTGTGTATTTCAATGCCTGACTGTGATCAGCAGCGTGACATGCTGCAAATCACAGACCCATTCCTGCTAACATCTGAGCAAATTCCATTGTAAGTTTTGAGAAACTCTAACTTGCATTTCTGTACTTTCTCTCAACTAGAAAAAAAGCAGGATAGTATGCTGCATCGGAGGAAGAGCCAAGAGAAAAAGATTGAATTCAGCAGCCATATCCATTTATATTTCATTTCATTCCAGTATCACAGTGAAGGATAAAGAGGAGCAATCAATGTGACTGGAGCCTCATCTTTTACAATAATGCATATAAATGTCTAATGCAACATAATGTACATGAAATTTTATAAATTGCCATTGGAAATGAAAACAGCAGTAGCAAAGCTAGGGCCAGCTTTTTCCTGAACGTATTAATAACAAAGATCCTCAGTGGGATCTTACATAGGCTTTAACTAACGTAGGAAGTACTTCGCATTCTTAATGAATAGAGATTTAATTTACAAGGCAGGAGCAATTCTCAGGGTACTGGATCTTCCAGCTTTATGGCTGCTTTGTGTCACCAAATGTATAGCAAGAACTAGGAGCTGACTTTTAACACCTTATCAAATAAAAGCATCTATTTTTAGAGCACAGAACTTGTAATCTAATACTCTAAAAATATACCTGTTACTTAGTTCATGAGTTAAAATATTTCCAGATTGCTGCTTCCAAATAGAATTCAAGGTGAGACTACTTCTGTCGAATTTGCTTCATGGAAAAAATCTTGGATGTTGAGATTTGAAAAGAGAATTAAACTGCCTATTTTGGGCAACGAAAGTGGATCCCTTCCCACCCCACCCCACCCCACCCCAAATCCTACTTGGCTGATGTAAATTTAAAAACCTTTTCCCCTATTTCTAGTACTCCAGAGATATTAAATCTTAATGATTTTTTGCAAGCAATTACTCTGGCTTAAGTAAAACACTGAGGAACTTTCTGGTGATATTGACACATGGTAATTAATGTGGTTCAATTATAAGACTGTAGAGTATGAAGTTAAAAGTCAAGGATACAGTATCACTTTTGAAGTTAATGGCATTATTGGTTGGTGTTCAAGATCCTTTAAAATACAGTAACTGCTGCTTAGTTTGCTGAAGTGAGAAGGCCTGTTTCTTGGTTGGAAAAAAAAAAAAGCATTATGTCTTTAGTCAGGGAGTATTTTCACTAATTGACGCTATCAAATTATGCTGAATACCATGTTTCTGTTGCTAGGCTCAAAACAACGTATCTCCGAGTTTTTCCACATTTGGCTGAAAATAGTTTTGCTTTAGTAATAATTTTATATAATCTTTAAAATACCAGATGAATTTAGATTTACTTTTATCTCATTACACAGGAAAGAAGTGCACGCTGCTGTTCACAATGGTAACATGAAAATATATATGTTATCTACCATCTACTGAAAGTATGCAGTCACAGCATATCTGCCTTTCAAACACCATTTTTTCAGACAACCACATAGCATGGAAAGGCTACTGCAAGAGCCATGTCTGAAGTGCATGTTTTCATATTCACTGAGCCATTGTGCCTTCTTTATAGAAAAAGAATTTAGCTCTGTTTCTAAGCTTAATTGAACTAAGTAGGTATTTGGCTGTACAAAAAATGGCATCTGAAGATGCCATTCACAGACTATGATGACTATTCACAGACTATCCTCATACACTTCCTTGCTCTTTCTTGAAAAAGTCCAAAATAAGCTTTTAAAATTAGTGCTGCAATGCAAGTTCTGCTCTTGTTCTAAAAACATCTTTCTCATAACAACATTTTTCTTATGACAAAGTAGCATTTAACTATCCATATTCAATTCCTTGCACAGCTCCCAATCTTGTCAACTGGTATTAATTCTTCCTTATTCTTTCTAAGCACACTTTCCTTGCAAGTCTAAAACAGAAGATAGATTCCCAATCACAGGTTTCTCATGGCTTCAAGAAAGTAAAACTCTGAACAGCATGGTGCCAATTATCTTCACAAGAAAGTACCTATATGCTGATTATTACTGATCCTGAAACAATCAATCTCCTTGTACTCTCTTGGTAAATACCAGCATCAGTAGGATGCCTGAGTTTTTAATCACATTACTACATATTAAAATGTTAAGTCATAGCTGTGGGTCAGTGTGTTATAAACTGACTTCTTAAAGAAATCTGACTTGTTGGTTTGTAAATTTGATTTTCATTAAAAGATTAGTTAAAATATATGCTTTCAAAGCCTGGAAAAGCATTCTGCGCTGCTGCATTGACTTGGGAAAATGGGACATCACAATATCTGACAGTAGTTATTTATCCCTGTGAAATCACATCAGAGGCTTCAAGTTTACAGGCAAAGTATCAGTTTTCTGTGGTATCCTGCTGTACTGAAAGGAGCTGCCTGTTTCCAAATCCTCCTTCGCAGCACATCTACATGGACAATTTGTTACCAGCACTGAAAATAAAATTACTGATACATATTAAAAGTGATGGAAAGAAATAAAACCAGCAAAAATTAGCCACAGCCAGACTATGCATGTACTAACACCTAATACTAAGTCCACATGATGTTTCTTGTGTTTTCCCAAGTGAATACTCCTTTTTAGTATACACTCTGGATAACGGGTTATGCCCACAGGGTGAAAGTGGACAAGTGGGACAACAGCCTAGCTATATTCATGACCTACCTCCGAAACTTCTGGATAAGCCCTCAGTGAAGTGGCTCTGCTATCACAGCCCTCTGTGCTTTAGTGTTGTGGGGGAATTGTGTAGCTACACAAGACATTGGGATTGCCCAGGGCAAGGCAGGCGGTTTGTTTTTTTACCTACTACGTTGAGACTCTATTGACTCACATATTCTTTTCTCTGCCTTAAAGCATCTAATTTTTTAAGATTTTTGATGTTTTTGATGTCTTTCCTGCACAACCTCCTTTGGAAGCCAAATGCTTTGGAATTGCTTTTATTAGATCTGTAATATATTGATAAAATGATTTAACGCAGTTGAGAAGAACTATTTGAGATACTTTCCATGGTGCACCAGGACAAAAATACAAAAGTGTATAAAACATTGACTGCAATTCACTACCAATCTATTCTAAGAGACAAAATAATGGATAACAACATCATTGTCTCCTTACTTATATTTCTATTGCTCATTTATCTAATATGATCTCTATGCAGTTGTGCCACATGGATTTGTAAGACTATTGATGTGAGATGTAATCTTCCTTCTGGAGGGACTGGTACAACAATGTCCCACCTTGTCTCATATTTACAATCATAGATCTTACCTGGCATACACAAAATCAGATCACTGCCCTGCTCTAAAATTTGAAAGCTCTGGAAATCTCCTATCATTGCAGAGCTCTCAGTACAATTTTACCTTCTTCCTAACAACTGGAAAGACTAGCATTCAGATGCTACTCCCATTCACTTTTCTCTGATCTAATCTGATTTATCCACTTTTTCTGAGTATCATAAAAAGAAATGGGAGGGCCATCTGCTTCTTACATCAGAAACCACTTCCCATGGTGGTCAATGGGAAGCACGGGCCAGAACTTGTAACTAATATTGGAGTAGGTGACCTAACTACATTAAATGACAGGACTTGAGAGAAAGGAATTGCGCACCTCAGACAGTCCTGCTCTGTTTCACACACCTGGCTGCACAGTCCACTCCTTTCCTATGCCAGCTCTGTGACTTTTCTGCCTCTTCCAAAGAGCTGGCTTAGCCATTTGCATGGCAGAAGACTATCTGCATTTTTTAATGAAGCCATTTTCTGCTGCCATAGTGAACTGATGTGTTTTGGTTGTGCGTGAGACTATCCCTATAGTGGGCATGGAGACGCAGGGAGCCACGGAGGGAGAGAGCGGGGGCAGAGCAGGACTGTCCCCTGTGGGAGTGGGGAGCTGCCAGACTGGCTCAGGCATTTTGTGAAATCTCAGTAGATTCCTGCAAGCTGATTCAGTCTGACTGGTTAAGCCAGGATGTGACAGGATGCTGTATTTTAGCTTACGCTTTCAAGAACTGGATGCCTTTAAAAGCTTTAAAATTTCGACCCTTCTGCATATTCTGACCTGTCAGTACAAAGAGTTTCACTTTGCCTAAGACTGTGGTCTGCTAGACAGGCACAGACAGTATCAAGCCCTTCGCACAAACGGGAACAAGGTGAATATGGTCTTACCTCCCCTGTCTTAAGACAGCAGCCAAACTCTCTAATCTCTCTTCTCTCACAAAAGAAGGGCCATTATTTTGCTATTGAACATTATCTTTCTAATGGCTTGGGTCAGTTGCTGATTTCAGCAAGAGTCTGCTAAGGGAAACAATCTGGTTATGGGCTTTTCATACCTGTTTCAAAATTATACTAGAGATGATAGAACCTCAAAATACTGTCGAACTGTAGTAAATACAGAATCTGAACAGTAGTAATGTTTAAATATTTGTAATCCGTCTGTCTTCTCATTCACACATACCTTTTTTTTCCGTTTTATCAGAAACTTTTCCTCCGATTGGTGAGTAAGTAGTATCCATGGATTCTGTTCCTTTATTTCCTTTACTAACTCCATTTTCATATAGCTGCCCTTCAACAGGCTGTAGCTGCCAGGTTAAACCAAACAAGTGTACTGCTGCAAAAAAATGAAGACCCATTAATTGATGTCTAAGCTACAGCACCTTCAGTCAGACTAAGAAAGCAAGCTATGACCCAGTTTCTGCGAAGTCAAGTATTACTTCTTTCTGTTAGTAATAAATCAGAATTTCAAGGGGTCTAATGAGCAATTTACTATTTTACCTTAAAACTCAATGTTTAATTAGTTTCCACACTTTATTTTGGAGTTCAGCCAGGTCAGGGTGATGAATTTCTACAGCAATTAATGGAAATACTTGAAATTAGAAGGATAACAGTTAAATGAATTTTATATTGTGTGACAGATTCTAATGCTACTTCAATGCTGTCCCTCAGCTTTCAACTGTAAAAGAGCCCAGAGTTTGTTGATTAAACTACTGACACCAAGCAAAACTTTTCATCTATTCAACCCAGTTCTAAGTGAAACTGCCCACTGCATTCCCACACCTTTTCACTTAGGTTAAACATTAGTAAAAACTCTGACTCCATAGATTTAGTCTAGAATTACACTGCAGATAAAAAGCTGGTTCTAGATCTAAAATATATCTGATTATTCTACAACACATATTAACAGAAATATAGTTGTTATTTATGTATGCACTGGAGAATCTACTAAATTAATCCTTTTATGAAGTTATAAACCATCCTTATTACCATGCATAGGGGCTGCCTACTCCACTTTGCCTGCACAGTCATTCAATTTTTCTGCTTTCCTTTCTGTTGTTTCTGGTCTGAGGCATCAAAGGATGGTAGGAGAAAGACAGTAACAAAGGATCTTATTTTAAGCATAATACGATACTATTGCAGTCATTCTAGACAATTACCTAGGTCTTATTGAGGAGGGCAAATTCTTCCAAGGAAGATGTTGCCTTAGCATTGAAGTAACTCAGCAGGGAGGACTGATGACCCACTAAAATATGGATCGAGGATACCCCCCACAGAGGAGCTGAAATTGTCACATAAAGAGCAAAACCCAAGTAGCAGGCTCTTTAGCCACATGCAGCAATTTGCAGTGAGTAGGATCTGCCCACAGTGGGAGTCAAAAAGGTAATACATAGGCTCTTCCTGAATCACAGAATGGTTTGGGTCGGACGGGACCTTAAAGATCCTCTAGTTCCACCTCCCCTGCCATGGGCACGGACACCTTCCACCAGACCAGGTTGCTCAAAGCCCCATCCAACCTGGCCTTGAAGACTTCCAGGGATGGGGCAGCCACAGCTTCTCTGGGCAACCCATGTCAGTGTAAATCTACTCTCTTCCAGTTTAAAGCCATTGCTCCTTGTCCTATCACTCCATGCCCTTGTAAAAAGTCCCTCCCCAGCTTTCTTGTAGGCCTCCTTTAGGTACTGGAAGGAACCATGTAGGAATCATGTAGGAACCTCAGAGACTCTCAGAAGGAGTAAGCGTGATCTAGAATGTGTCGTGTATTTAGAAAGTACATTGTTTTCTTTTGCACGTGCGTATACTTTAAGGAAAAAAAATCTCAATACAAACAGGAAACCTAGAGTCTATTATCCATTTTCTATGTGTTTGCTCACAAGCCTCCTTCGCATGCTGGAAAGTTAAATTATAAAGCAAAACCCCATGCCTTGAATGGGTTCCTGGCAAGGGCTTGCCAAAACTACCACAGGAATGCAAAGCTGCCAATCTACAATCATTAATTCCAGATCTGTGCACTCCTGGATCACCCAGCCACAGATACATGATCCAAATCCAGCAAATGAGAGCATTTCTGTTGAATTAGTGAGGTGATATTATTTGTGACACATTTATATTTTTTATATCGGCTTCAGGAGAAGAGAGTCAAATTTACTGAATTCTCAAACAACTGCTTCACCATCAGATCTGGGCTGTGGAGACACACCACTGGACAGTAAATTCTCAATTCCCAGAAGAGATATTAGAAGCTTACTGTGGTGTTAGTGGTCAGAACTCAAGCCAGAGACTTGCCCGGATTGCTTCATATTCTATGGACTTGAAATTGTCAAGGGACGATGCTAATACTTTGAACACGGTCTTGCAGTCAAATCACACAGACCTAAGCTCTGATCTTTGAGCTTATTAATGGAAGACAGATTACTTCTATGTTCAGAAGGTACAACAAAAATCAACATGCCTTGACATCTCTAGAGCAGGCGGCTCTTACTCCTGGCTTAAGATTTTGAACATTATTATTATTTAAAGAGTTAATAACAACAAAAGGGAACAAAGTTCAAAGGGATTGATAATTAATGAATGTACATTTCATTTATACTAATGCAAATAATTGTATCAGCACTTGAAAGAGATCAACACTAGAAGCAAAACTTAACTGCCACACATCAATAAGCTTTTAGTGGTTATGGAATTGTGAATACAATCTAGTTGCTTTCTTATGCTATTTCCGTTGTTGCTATTATTCATTTCCTAAGACAGCATTTGCACATGCTGCAGAGGGTACGTCACAAAGCAAGGACTGAATATGTAATGCACCTTTTTCCTTACTATATATCTTTTCCAGATTACATACACTATGCACGTTGTCATCCATTCACATCAGTTCAAATAGTTTGCTTGCTTCATCTTCTCTCAGGCTGGGGAAGTGCTGTTGTTTTTATAGTTTGTGCCAAAGCTTGGCAAGCTTGCAAAACTATTTGTATGTATGTTTGACAGTCAGTTTCCTCCCTGAGAAAAACCAACTGCATTGTAGAGATGATGGTCTCTGCCAGCCTTGGACTTCTAGTTTGCGGGAGATGTCACAGGATACTGGTAGATCAGCTTCACATTAAACAATGTGCAGACTGAGTATTTGAACAACAAAGTACATTGCCATGAAAATAAGGTGTACTTGAATTAAAGTAAATTACTTCTATCACTGCAGAAACTTGGTCATCTTGCAATCTTAAAATCAATCAGATTTTCATTACATTAGCTATAGCTCTTGAGAAATTATCTTCAGACCTGGGTATCACTCTTGTTATAACCAGACCACGTGCACCAGTAAAACCACTAATTCTTAGAGATACCTTTTTCAGAAGTTAACTATAGGGAATAATAAATGTTTATTTAGCAGACACAGAGCCTTACCTTGCCTCTTCATTTTCTGTGATACTTTTCTTTTACCTAGGGTATACATAATTCCTACAAAGCTTGTTTCCTACAGCATATGTACATCATGTTTTAAATATAGGGATATTTCACCAAATAAGATTAAATGAAACTTTCAAATCTCTCTCTCTCAAATCTCTTTAGAAATAAGTTGGCACGTATTGAATTTCATTAAAAAGCTCAAAAGAACTTGTCTTTTGAGTCTTTCTTTCTTTGATTTTTCTAGTGGATTTCTGGTTTTTGTTTTTTCCCTTTTACACAAAGGAGCACAGAAAATGCTGAGGAATTCAACAGTGGGCCACAATGTCACTTCCCACAGCATAAATCCATTTGTAAGATTCACAGCTGCATTTCCTATGTGTAGTGCCCAGGTATAACACCCTACTCCACAGACCAAGTAGAAGATGACAGCATCCTTCTGTCCAACTTAGGATTGGGCTGGGTAAAAACGACGGAGATTCACTTTCTGATGATGATCTCTGCCCTTTCCTCAAAGTTCAGCCTTCCAGACTGATGTTTACACAAAAAGACTTTGACTGCAGTACTTTTGAGGGCTGGCTGCTGACTAACAGTACCAAACCCCACCGTTATGAGTAAAGATGCACTATTGGATGTAGCTCAGGTTCCCACAAAACACAAAAAACAGCCTTTGCGGTTTGATGACTACACTGGTATTACAGAAAAAGCAAAAGCTACTTTGGCTGTGCCTACCTGGCATTCCAGACAAATTCTGCAATTGGATACCCTGCATTTTGCAGCATCTAAAATACCTCAGCTTCTAGTAGGGTTCGTAAGGTCATTGGTGAACTGCTCCAGTTTTAAGCAAAAGCCAAGGACTACCAGGTAAGTGGAAATTAAACAGCTTGTTAACAGCACCAGCATGCTTCACAACTGCAAAATTCATACTTTAAGTTAGAAGAGGCTGTGGTGAGTCACCAGGAGCATCAGCCCATAACATCCCCTCATCTGGGCCTAACTGAACCTCTTGTCTGAAAACTGAGCATCAATATCCTCCCTGCTGGCACCAACTGCGCTTCTTTACCTGGCATTCTTGAACTTCCAACTTGATTTCTGTGTTTCCTTGGTTCTTCCATCCTACTGCAAAGCTCATCTGAAAAGATATTCTTTCCTGGCTTGCTTGACTCTTCAGTGTATTCCTCCCTCTAGCATTGCATTATTACTTTGCTCTGTTATTTATGAGTTGCATTCTGCCATGAGCAGAGTTGTACATTGCTTTCACTGAGGTGATCTGGAGGCAGGAAAATATATCTGAAGGCAAAATTTGACCCTCTTTACATAATGTTTGGAGATAGAACTTATATGATGGATGCCACCATACCTATATTTTACTAGATAGCCCTGTTTAATTCAAAGGTTCAGATAAAAGTGCAACAGAAAAGTGGACATACACTTTTTTTAGAACATGCATTATGGATGTTATTGCAGAAGCTAAATTTGGAGGAGTCTGTAGTCAGTAGAGCTAAAGAGACTGGAGGATGTCACAGAATTATGGTGAAACTAAGCTTCTTCCTCAGTCACCCTGCCCTGGCCAGGCTGCACAGTGGAGCTGCTCAGGGTAACTTCAGATGACCAGCCTCTCAAATACAGAAGATTCTACTCATAGTACAGAGCTTTTCTTGGTTAATTTATTATGCTGCTTAGGTAAAAAATAATTATTAGGTATAAAACAGATCTCTTGCAGAAAAAGATAAATTAAAGGCCTGTATCTTCTACCCTTCCCATAAATTTCCTTCATGGAACAAAGAGATGAAAAGCCAGTATGACTTTATGCTGCCTAAGGGATTTTCTCTATCCAGAGGCAGGTTTTTGGTTGCTTCACATTACTGCTGTAAGCAAAATCAGTTGGGCCCTGTTCAGAACCAAAGCTTCGGTCTTTACCTCTGAAGTAAATGG